CTAATTGATTGATATTGGAGTTGGCACATATGCAAGTTACTGTGGTTCAGATATGGGTTCAGTTTGAAATTTCCTTCGATTTGTTGTTTACCTTAAACACCGCGAAAAATCAACTAAAATACACAAAGTTATCTTATCCGTCTGAAGCAGGTACTGACTGGTACGCGGAAGCGCGATAGGTTATCGGCAAGCTTTGCAAGGGTTTAGATTCAGAAATGCAGAGGAATAGTGAGAAAATTTAGAATAACAGAACTGCCAAAGCTATTTCAGCTAACAAAATTAATCTGACCACCATATTTCAGAAGCATACCGCAATAGGCGAATCTCAAAACAAGCCGAGGAACTTACCGGTCAGGATTTGGTAGACTACGTAAATCGTAAGCAAACTTTGTGGAAGGTAACTAATTTGATTTCAAGGTATTTCAGTTTCAGTCTGCAGATTACTAGTTATAGGCAAAGAAACACCATCGTTTTGGCAGCTACCCAGATCGCACCAAATGGGGTTTAATGGGTGTGAATCATGTTCGATTGTCCGTTGAGGTTGTCTAAAAGTTAAAGTGCACTGAATTCCCGCATTAGAAACAATCTCATTCAGGCAAAGAAACATCTGTCCCACACTAAAGATTTGGATATAGATATCCCAGAAAGCTTTGATTCTCGAGAAGCATGGCCACAGTGCCAATCTATAAAGGCTATTCGTGATCAGTCAAGTTGTGGTAAGTGTTACGGTATACGCTAATTCAAATCGGGCTGTTGTATCGTAATGCAGTATTCATTTCAATATTAACATTGACATAAATATTTAGTCTTAGTACCCAGTTTAGTGAGTGTATCAATAAGTCAGCGCTAAAGATGGGATCGTATTGCTGGTATTAATAGTAATAGCGATATTATTAGTGTTAATATTAGTATCGGTATTGGTATATTAGTATTAGTATGTACTAGTAATAGCAGTATTAGTATTAGTATTAGAATTAGTAGTATATTAGTAAGTATTGGTATTAGTATTAGTATTAGCATTAGTATTAGTATATTAGTATATGTTCAATATCCAATTTGAT